AGCTTTCCGTTTTCTGTTTATTTCCCTCATCTTCTGAACTGCTCCTTCCTCCGGGAAGAAATGTTTCAATTAGGAAGAAAGAGTTTTAAAAAATGGTATAATTGACAGGATTTCTGGAACTTGCTATGTAGACCAGGCTGGCTTCAAAATCACAGAGATCCTCCTGTGAGTACTGGGATTAAGGGTGTGTGCCACCATAACCACAGACAGGATTTTATTGTAAGGCCCTTCTTTTTATGGGATGATGGGGCAGGGTCTTATGTAGTACAGGCTGTCCTCAAATTGGCTATGCAGTGGTGGATGAACTTGGATCCCTGATCTTGGTGGAGGCATTCTAAGCATTTTGCATTATGTCTGGCAAGTACTTCTTTTAATATTTGTTTTTCCTTTAAATAAGCTAAGATGTTGGGATCTCAGGAGATTTTTAAAAAATTATTTATTTTTATCTTATGTGCATTGGTGTTTTGCCTGCCTGTATGTCTGTGTGAGGGTATCAGATCCCCTGGAACTGGAATTATGGGCAGGTGTGAGCTCCAGGTGGGTGCTGGGCATTGAACCAGGAACCTCTGGAAGAGCAGCCAGTGCTCTTAAGGGCTGAGCCATCTTTCCAGCGCAATGCATCTTTCACTGCCCTGCCAGCCAGCTCCCAAATAATGACACAGAGACTTATTATTATTAATTATGAAAGCTCAGTCTTAGCTTAGGTTTGTTCTTATAACTTAAATGAACCCATGTCTATTAACCTACTTTGTCACCTACCTCCACCCTGCTTCTTCCATGTCTCTCTCCTTTCTTTCTCCAGAAACGACACCTATACCGCCTACCTAGCTATTGGCCATTTAGGTTTTTTTTTTATTTCACCAATCACAGCAAATAGGCTTTCACACAATGTACAAGTATCTCACAACATTCTAGCCCTATGATTTGATGTCTTCATTGACAGCTGTTAGATCTTAGGAGTATTAGCCAGGCTGCTGGAAGGATTGCTTTCAGGGCAGCTTGGCTGCCTGCATACTCCACGGGTGGGTATCTTGTGAAAAGACACAAACCACAGCTACAAGCAGGGGCTGTGGGTTCAGGTGACAGAGTGCCTGCTGGGTATTCGCAAAGCCCTGGCCTCCATCCCCAGAACCACGTGAGCCAGACTTGCTGGTATATGCCTATATACCAGTCCATGGGGAGGTAAAGGCAGGAAGATCATAAGTTCTAAGTCATCCTTGGCAATGCAGAGAGTTTGAGGTCAATCAAGGGTACAGAGGACCTTGTCGGGGAGACAAAGATATGTGCAAAAAGCCAGGAAATGAACAGTGTGTGTGTGTGTTCTCAGGGAAAGTGCTGAGTGTATTGTTTGATGGCAACAGCAGCTGAAAGGAAGCCCAGTTTGACGGAAGGAAGTGGCCATCAGATGGGAACATTAAGGGTCACAGGATCTTATGATCTCCATTGTGGCTTCAGAAAGCTGCCTGGGTGTCCATCTGCAGAACTCTTGTTGATTGTACTTGCTCCCATGGGTGACAGGTGTCCTGGTATGCTGGTATAATGAGATGTTCTAAATTTGAAGAGAGAACATTTAAGAACAACAGCTCAAACTTGTAAATTATTTTACGTTGTTATGAAACCAAAATGAGGTATATTTACTTATTTTTTTAAAAAAATGTTCATTATTATTTTATGTGTATGGATGTTTTGCTTTTATGTCTGTCTGTCTGTCTGCACACTACACTCTTGTAGTGTCTTTGGATGCCAGGAAGGTGGTGTTAGATTCCTATGACCTGGAGTTACAGATGTTTGTGAGCCACCATGTGGGTGCTAGGAATCAAAACCCAGGAGGGCCCTTTGGAAGACTATTCAATGCTTTCTTTTTTTTTTTTTTTTTTTTTTTTTTTTTTTTGAGACAGGGTTTCTCTGTGTGTGTAGCCCTGGCTGTCCTGAACTTACTATATGGCCTATCCTGCTCACACCTGGAGATCCACCTGCCTCTGCATCCCAAGTGCTGGGAGTAAAGGTGTGCGTGCATCACTACCTCCCAGCGCATCCGGTGCTCTTAACTGCTGAATCATCTCTTCAGACTCTTGGGGATATTATACTAAAACAAAAGAATGAATGAAGAAGAACAAAACCTTATGATGGCTGCAGATGTGACTCTGTAGAATGCTTTCTTAGCACATATAAATTCCTAGGTCCCACCCAGGTCTCTAGGAAACTGTGCAGGATGGCACATGCCTGTCCTGTTAGCAGGAAGCAGGGGAGGCATGGGGAACAGAACTGTTCAAGGAGCTGGGCAGAGAGTTCAGCCGAAAAAGTGTTTGCAATGCAAGTGTGAGAATTTAACTTCAATCCTATAGGGGAAAGTATAGTGATGGTGTGCTTGCAATTCCAGGGAAGCCAGGCTCACCCCTGAAGCATGCTGTCCAGATAGCATACATGTCCAAGGTGGATGGCTCTTGAGGAGGAATAATGTTGGAAATTGTCCTTCGACCTCTATATATGTGTGCGTACACTCTATTTCTCTCTCTCTCTCACAAAGTTTGGTGTTCCCTCAACTACATTGAGTTTGAGAACAGCCAGGGAAGCATAAGGCCTTGTCTTAAAAGGCCCAAAACAAACAATCTTATAATCTCTGGGAGACAGGAAATAAGCGGTGTGGGTGTGTAGAGTGTATGTATAAGAGACCCTTTTTCCAAAAACATACAAAAATCTTCATGATTAAAAAAGTGTTTCTTTTTTGCCCTTTTTAAATTTAAATTTGAAACAAGATTGTTTTACATGTCAATCCCAGTTCACTCACGCTTCTCTCCTCCCCTATCACCCCCACCAAACCCTAGCCCATTCCCTTTCTGCTCCCTAGGGAGGGTGAGGCCTTCCATGGGGAGTCTTCAAAGTCTGTCATATCACTTAGGGCAGGGCCTGGGCTCTCCCTCATGTGTCTAGGCTGGGAAAGTATAACTGTATGTGGAAAGGGCTCCCAAAGTCCATTCATATAGTAGGGATAAATACTGATCCATTACTAGTTTAAAAAAAAAAAAGTGTTTTTACTCAAACTTTTGAGCCTCTTCTGTTGTGGGGCATTCACCACAGAAGACTGCTTGGACATGGGTTTAAGCCAATAGAAAGTCTTCATTAGGTGACTATGTTGGTTGTTCAGGATGCCAGTGTATCACTGAGCATCTCAGGGTAAGCTTTGAAGCACAAAAACCACATTCTGGCTTGACATTCTTCTATTAACAAGAACAATTAGCCAGACCTGGAACTACAGAAGCCAAAAAAGCAAGGTGCTACATTTAGAGATTTTCCCAGAACTGTGGACTTTGATGGAATAGGTCCTAATTTTAGGCAGGCGATGCTGTCTATGTGCTGAGTTTTATAGCCTGAATGGTACTTCCATCATGGAGCCAGTTGTGCTAAGGTCTAGGGACCTGTTATACTTCTATACAGCAGACATTGTAGTCCTGGAAGATAAAGGGAACTAAGTGCCTAGCAGATACAGCCCAGGCCAGGGGCTTTAAAAGCTTTAGAGGCACTAGAAAGGAGACTGAGACTCAGCCTAGGGCTCCAGCCTGGGAACTCTGTTAGCCCACTTAGTGGAAATCGTTAGACATCAGTGTCTGGAGGGACAAGGTCTGTACTGTGTAAATAAGGCCCTTCTGATGAGTTATCCTACTACCCCATTACGCCCCTTCCCCCCTCTTTTCTTTTATTTGAGACCTTTTCTTCTCCTTGAGATAGAATCTCTCTACATAAGCCTGGCTGTCCTGAAACTCACTATGTAGACCAGACTGATCTTGAACCAAGTCTGGTTTTTTTTTTTTTTTTTTTTTTTTTTTGTGAGACAGGGTTTCTCTGTATTGCTTTGGAGCCAGTCCTGGAATTTTCTCTGTAGACCAGGCTGGCCCCAAATTCACAGAGATCTGCCTGTCTCTGCCATCCGAGTGCTGGGATTAAAGGCATGTGCCACCACTGTTGGGTCCCCAAATCTGGTATTAAAGGCTGGTGTTGCCACACAGGCATTCTCTTTTAGTTCTGGGGGGAGACCAGTTCACATATGCTTGATGTATCCCCGTAGTTCCGGACTAATCTCTCATTCCTCCAGCCCCAGGCCAGACACTACTCCTGTGGGCTTCCACATCCTTGTTCCCTTCTCATAGTCAGGAGGGCCAGGCCTGGTGGCACATAATTCAATCCAGCTACCTAGGAGGCTGAGGCTGGAGAATGGTGAGTTCAAGTTCTGCCTTAGCTATGGAGTGAGTTCAGGCATAGCCTGGGTAATTAAACCCTGAGTCAAAATATATGAAGCCCAGCGTCTTGCTTGCGGCACAGCTTCAACTCCAGCACTTAGGAGGCAGAGGCAGGCAGGTCTATATTGAGTTCAAGGCTGGCCTGCTCTACACAGTGAATACCAGGACAGCCTTGATTATGTAGGGAGAAGCTGTCTCAAACAAACAAACAAACAAACAAAAAGCCCAAATCCATATACATATAAATAAATGAATAAAGAAATAATAAAGGGCTGGGGGCTATAGCTCAGCAGTGGAGGGCTAGCTCAGCATGTGGGAGCTCTTGGGTTCAATCCCCTACTGTACAAAGTGAGGAGAATGGCCTGGTTATCTTCAAAGAGACCTAACTATAGTCAGGGCACCTGTTCCCTGGCCTGCTTACCCACTCCAGGTCCTAGAAGGTACTAGAACACTTTTGTGTCCCTAGCATCCATCACAGGGCCCGTCCGCAGACCTCGGTGCCAGAGAGAGTGAGTGGGTTAGTATGTGGTGGATGGGCAAACAAATGCGCGAACGAATGGCAACGTGGGTGAGTGAATGAGTGGGCAAGAGAACTAGTGACAGCCGCTGGTTGAGAGCCAGGAGGTGGGTGCGCGCCCGGGGACTGTGGCGCTAGGCGTTGGAACATGCATGCGCTAGCACTGGGCCTTGGCCCTTAGCTGCGGAACTCAGCCCAGGCCGAAGCCACGTGGTTTGGGCGTGGCCCGTGGACAGGGGCGTGGCGAGGTTGGGATGGGCGTGGCCGCGCCGGACAAGAGCTGGCGTGGGCGGAGCTGGCCAGCGGGCGCGGGAGGAAGTCACGTGGGCGCGCGGGCTCACATGACTGGCCGCGCGATGGACCCGCTGCCCTCGCCGGCAGTCGCTGCGGCAGCTGAGGCGGAGGCTGACGAGGAGGCGGATCCGCCGGCGACAGGTAGGGCACGCGGCCCGGTGGAGAGCCAGGAACCTCGCAGCCGGGGACCACCTGTCGGCGTCACACCTCGCCTGACTCGGGGTGGAGGGGACACCCTGGAGCTGCCTCTTCCCGCTGCTCCAGGGACTCTGCTCTCCAGCTCTCGGTTAGCGCGCGGTCGTGTGGAGTTGCACCTGGATCTTTTCTGAGCCCACCTTGCAAACGTTCGCCTAGAGAATGGCTTATGTTGTGATCGTGTGTGACCATGCCCAGGGAAAGGGATGCATCTTCAGTATAGACTTTTCCTGGGGTCCCCGGCTTTGTGGACTGTGGGGACGAATCCATGTGGCCAGAGGCGCAAGGTTGGAGCTAGGCCTGATGTGTTTTAGCTAGGTCTATCCAGGTGTCATTGAGTATGGCCATCTAGAGCATTGATGGAAAGCAGGTTCTTCTCTAGGGACGAAAGGTTTAGGGTAGTACCTTTAAACCCCAGGGGAGGGAGGACGTGAACGAATGCCTTTGATGGATGGAGAGACGCTGTGTCTAGGTGGAACTCCACTTGGAGTTGTTGGTCTACAGTCTGTGGGATTTGTTGGGCAAAACATTTTGACACCCCCCCCCCCGCAGGAGACAGGGTTTCTCTGTTTAACAGCTTTGGCTGTTCTAGAACTTGCTTTGTATATCAGGCTGGCCTTGAACTCATAAAGATCTTCCCACCTCTGCTCCAGAGTGCTGGAATTAAAGGCATAGGCTGAAAACATTGTATGTTGGAGGGCACTTTGTATAAATAGCAGGGCGCCTTAAGAATGGGAGACTGTTTGATATAGGGGCTACTTCTGCCTTTAAAAAAGTTACTTGTATTTATTGTTTTTAACTGTGTTTGTGTGGGGACACTTGTGCCCTAGGCAGACAGAAGTGTGGGATCCCCCAAGAGTCAAAGTTACACTTGTGCGCTATCCAGCATGGGTGCTGGGACCCAAATGCCAATCTTCTGCAAGAGCAGTGTTTCTTGTTAACCTCTGAGCCCCAGTCTGACTCTTGAAGCAGTTCATCGTGGCTTTTAACAATGGCAATTGATCAGATATCTCTTGGCAAATTTGGCATCTTCCATATTGATTCATGCAGAACTCAGCTAATAGCTGACATTAGGAATGATTTTGCCTGGGTTTTTGACAGATAGTTTAGCTTCCTTGGGCAGTGGTGTGACTTGTATATTAGTCACAACCATGTAAGCCCTTCACGATTTACAGGCCATCCTGGTAGCCACGTAAGCTGAAAAATGGGTTTTCCAGTCTGGTGAAACCTAACTTGTCATTCTATCCTATGTCAAACTTGGCACCAATCTGGAAGAAACTTACTTGGCATGTGTCTTGGAGACTTTGGCTAGGTGGGCTGGAATAAGAACATCTTCGAGAATAACTCTTAAGAAAATATATTATTAGGCCAGGTGATGGTGGCAGTGGTGGTGCATACCTCTATTTCCAGCAGTTGGGAGGCAGAGGCAGGAGGATCCCTGTGAGTTCAAGGCCAGCTTAGTCTACAGGGTGAGTTCCAGCACAGCCTCCAAAGCTACAGAGAAACCCTGTCTCGAAAAACAAAACAAAATATACATTGTGTTTATGTGGACAATGTGACATGGCACGGGCATGGCAGCCAGAGGACAACTTTGTGGAGTTGGTTCTCTCTTTCTACTTTTACTTGGGTTCTGGAGACCGGATTTAGGTGGTTGGGCTTTTGTGGTAAATGCCCTTAGCCACTGAGGGTGGTCCTGAGGATGGATTTTACTTCAGAGATACTAGGCTGAAGCAGCCAACTGCCTTGACAAGTCAATTTTGACTTCACTCCTCCTGCCTCATCCTCTTCATCATTTGCCTCCGAGCATGCACCTTCACGGGTTAACTGGCTTTTGACACCTCAATGGAATAGCTAGTGTGGCTTTTGGGGCACATAGCAGATTTCCTTTTCTGTCTTCTGTGTATACTTCAGAGCTGCCCGTAGTAGTCATGCAGGGACTGTGATATCTTCATGTTTGTAGTGGTTTGGAATTGCTGGTGGAAAGAAACCATGTTCACTGTAGTTTTCAGCACATAGCCCCATTACTGTTTATTTGAAAGGTAAACTGAATTTCATAAGAACTGAATTTAAAAGTTGGGTGGTAGTGGTGGCTCTGAACACCCTAACGCCCTAACGCCCTTAACCCCAGTGCTGGGGATGCAGAGACAGGTGGATCTCTGAGTTCTAGGCCAGTCTGGTCTACAGAGCAAGGGCAGCTAGGGCTACACAGAAAAACCATATATATATAAAACAACAACAACAAAAAAACCAAACCAAAAAAAAAAAAAAAAAAAAAAAAAAAAAAAACCCAACTAAACAAATGAGACAAAATATTTTATTTTTGTTTTTATTTCCATTACCTTGATCAGTTTTCTCATCTCCTCCTGATGTGCTCCATTTGAGTCTCTTTGTCAATTTGCTCTCCAATTTATTTTTGTTTTAAAGATTCATTTGTATGTATATATCTGCCTGTGAACACTCGGAGGCTAGAAAAAGGTGTCAAATACCTTGGAGCTAGATTAACAGGAGTTTGTAGGACACCATACTTACTATGTGGGTATTGGGATCTGAACTCAGGTCCTCATGATTGCAAGGCAACATTCTTAACCATAGAGCCATCTCTCTAGTCTACTTTCTTTTGAGACAGAGACTCTCACTGAACCTGGAGCTTGCTGCTTTGACCAGACTTTGCCAGCAAGCTCCAAGATCCTCCTCTGGAAGTCCCTTCTGTGCTGGGATTATAGGCACACACAGCCAGCACTTTATTGATGGAGCCATCTTCCCAGCTCCCTCTCTCCTTTGTGGATTTGTATATTGAAACTGTAACTGTTGAAGTGTCAAGGTACCAGTGTGATGTGGTATCAGCATTCAGGAGGTCCAGGCAGGAGGGTCATGAGTTAAACAAGCAAACACACAATAAGTGAGCTACATGTAGACACCCTCTTCAAAACAAAAGAAAAAAAACCAAAAAAACAAAAAAAACTAGGACTGGAAAGGTGGCTAAGTGGATAAAGGTACTTGCTGCCAAGCCCGGATTACCTGTGTTTGATCTCTGAAACCCTCATGGTGTAAAGAGAGAAATGAGTTTTAAAAGTTTTCCTTTGACTTCCACACATGCACTGTGGCACACCTGCCCCTCCCCAGATAATAAATAAATCTAATAAAAAACAATTTAAGACAGTGGTCCAGGTTTGGTGTTGCATGCCTTTAGTCCCAGCACTTAGGAGGTAGAGACAGGCAGATAGATTCCTATGAATTCTAGGACAGCCTGGTCTGCATAGCAAGCTCCAGGTCACATATTGAGACCCTGTCTCACTCTTCCCAACAAATAAAGACATTAACAGCCATTTAAAAAGTGGGGACTGGAGGGAGGACCTGATCACCAGCACCAACATGGCTCCTCACAATTGTTTGTAACTCTAAAGGGCCAAGAGCTCTAACACCCTCTTTTTTTGAGAATAGTATGCACTTGATATATAGACATACAGGCAAAATATGAATGCACTTAAAAACTAGAGGAATGGTTTAGCAGTTAAGAGCACTCCCTGCTCTTTCAGAGGATCCATGGTTTGGTTCCCAGCATCCACACGGCTACTTAACAGTCTGTAACTCCAGTTTTAGGAGACCCAGTACCCTCTTCTGACTCTATAGGCATGCATACATTGCACATACATACATTCATGCAGGTAAAACAAGCAAACATATAAAATTAAAAACAGAAAGAAGGAAAAACCCAGTGGAACTGAGGGTGCGACTCAGTGGATGAGCACCTGCTTAGTATGCACAAGGACCGGGTTCCATCCTCAGCAATGTGGAAATAATAAATACTGAGAGTCATTAGAGCAATTTGGTCTGATGCAGCCTGGGATCTCATTTCAGGGCTGCCTGCCAGCGCAGTATGCCTGCTTCATCATAAGATCTCTCTCTCTCTCTCTCTGTGTGTGTGTGTGTGTGTGTGAGTGTGTGAGAGAGAGCGAGAGAGAGCATGCACATTGCTGCTGTGTGTCTAGGCCCTGCTTCATGCAATCCTTGAGACTTTAGTCCTAGAGATCCAGGAGTGTCTGGTCTCCATTGTGTTAGCATGGCTCTTTCTGATGGCATTCCATACATTCCAGCCAGCAGCTATCCTGTTCTCTGTGGTCAGGTCCCCTGGCCTTTGCTGTTCGATGCCCTGCCTCCTCCTCGGCAGCTCTAGCCCTCTCTTCCTGCCCCGCCTGGGCTTACTGTCTGTCCCTCCGCTCGCCTTGGTGAAGTTTCCTTCTGCATATTTGCACTTGTCGCAGTTCATTGAGCTGTCATCTCGGATGTGTGTAGTTGATGGTGGTTAAATCACCCCTGAAATGGCTGCTGACATTAAGAGCATCCATCTTCCTGTTTTACACATTGTGATCTGAAGACTTGAGGTGGGTAGCTTATTTTTCTTCACATCTCAGCACTTAGAATGACACCTGGTAAACAGGAGGGGCCTAGATGTTTGAAGAAAACTGCATGTTATCTATCATATGTCTCTTAAAAGACAGCATTATATTTTAGTTGGATAATATATGTTTAAATTTTTTTAATGTTTAATTAATTTTATGTGTGCATTTTTCTGCATTAATATGTGTATACTATGTGCTTGTCTTGTGCCTGAGAGAGTTAGAAGAGGGCATTGGATCCCCTGGAAGTTGAGTTACAAGTGGCTGTGAGCCACCATGTGGGTCCTGGGAACTAAACCTGGGTCATCTGGAACAGCAGCTGTGACTGTTTTCTTTTTTGTTTGTTTGTTTGTTTGTTTTTATAGATAGGGTTTCTCTGTGTAATAGTCCTTACTGTCCAGGTACTAGTTTTGTAGACCATACTGGCCTTGAACTCCCTAAGAGCCTGCCTGCCTTTGCCTCACAAGTGCTGGGATTAAAGCTATATGCCGCCACTGCCCAGCGAAACTGTGTTCTTTAATTGTTGAGCCATCTCTCCAGCCCTGGTCT